CTCCACACAGAGTTGTTGAGTCTATGACTAGACTTCTAAGGTAACTGTCTTGCAATCAATCTTACTCCGACCTTAGAAAATCATGGTTCCACAATAACGAACAAAGTCTCGTTCTCTGTGAACACGCAACAGAGATGCCCCCATCATTGCCATACTGATGGAATGATTTGCAAGGTAATGCGCCTAAATACAAAACAACTCGAGTGCATCGTAGCATTCACAAAGTTCACAAGGTTTGAAGCCAAGATGCCATGCATCAAAAGAACTAAAATGGTATGCATTCTGACTTACTCTAAAAAGCATGGCCTTTAGATAACTATCCATACTCAAGAGGAACAAGTTCCTTAAGATACATAGTTAAGGGCAATTGTGGGATCATGATTTTCCAGATTTGGAGTAAGGTGAGTCAAAATACGCATACCTTAAAGTCTAGTCATGGACTCAACAACCTTCGCTGCAAAGCTGAATAAACGAAACAACGATGCCACCATCATCGTCTTTCAAAATCAGTGGGCAAACTATAAGGACTTCGTTGAGATTGACCATGCTTGTTCTGCAAGATACGAAAACCTAATCCAGCAATGAATTAGTATGTTTTCTATAATCTTGGAGTCCTTACAGTTTAAAGATTGGCATGCGCCGTGAGTAATCACACTCCTAAGAGGATGCAATATCTATCCTTAGTTATCCTCTGACATTCTCCCAGTTTAATAAGGATTCTACTATCCTAAAAGATCTCCTCCTCGACTCGTATAAATACACCATTCTAGAGTTCATCACTAGTAAGACATACTTATACTCTGGCCCACTACTTGAGTCTTATATTGCTTACTAACTTGACTGTCGAAGAGCCTTTGACTAACACTCCCAGTCTTTGGCTTGCTCATGTTTGTTTTCTCTTTTAAAGGTTGCTTGGCTTTGTGCATCTCCACCTCTTATGATGGTGCACAAATTTAGTTCCTACCCTTTTGCTTTGTTGTACCGTTTTTGTTAATACAACGTTTCTCGAAAAACTTTTGATCAGAAAATTCTTTTTCCTTCAAGCATGATTGATGAATAAATTGAATATCAAATCATGCTTAACACACATATCATACATGCTATTTTATACAGACATAAAAATAACTTGGACTGCAAGTAAAACTAAAGAAACTGGATTGAAGTCGTGGTATACCAGTAAACAATCAATATGACATTCAATAACGTACGTCAATAACAGCAGCATATATCTTATAACGAAGAAAATTGAATTATGATATCACAATCGATCATTCACCATAGCATTCGGAAACAATTTATAACAATATTAATCTGATATTACACATAAATTGATGAACAGCAGCAGCATAAAATAAGATCAAGATAATTTAGCTTTGCATGCATGTATTCACATAACTGGAAGAGTTGACGCGTATGAAACATGCAGATTTTAATCGTGGTATCCTTTACAGGTCTTGATCACACAAAACTATGCTATGATACCAACTGTCAACTTTATCAGTTCATGTAATTACACATAAGCTTTACATACCTGGAGAGGACGACATTGTAAATTTCTCGATGATCAAACATGAGGACGAAATAGATTGAAGCACGTCTAAAAATCAGTATCAACATAGTACTCACAATATATGTAGAATTGTAGAGCATGTTTTAGTGCCATGGTCATTGAATAAGTAATTATTACTATTAACATTATTACAAGCACAAACTAATTCTTCCCCCCTTCTATTTGTGAACATATTCTCATACAAATTCAAACCAGAACCTGTTTATAAGCTTAGCTGAAAGATGATTGAGCGCTTCCGTCTTGAACATAAATTTCTGGTGGCGGCTCAAAACTGGTCCTTTAGGATTTCTCTTTGAACAACTGTGGATGGAGCTGCCTCTAGTCCATCTATGGATGGTTTTATAACAGTGTAAAATAACACATTATAGAAAACGGTAAAAGCAAAGACTACAGCAGCCGTGATTGCAAAAAACGACCCTGAAAATTCCTCAACATGTTCATCTTTTGTTCGGTCTCTTGAAAAAGTCACATCCGGTGCTGCAACCAGTGAAAATAATTTCTAGTCAATGACCATGCCATGCCGTAACATCCACATTCCATCATTTTGTTTCATTTCTATTTCCTAATATGACTGCCTATGAAATTGAAAATGCTACTTCAGACGTAATTGCTTCACATAATAGCAAGATCATATGAAATACCGTAGCTTTGCAGTTTCGATAAAGTAAAACTCCCTTAAAATTGTAATCTCACAATGCGGTTAGGACAACTTAATGCAAAACATAAGATTGGTGGAAGTAAATGATTATGATGAAAAATTTTATCAGAGAGTGAAAAGACGAAAATGTCTCTCGTTGACTAAACGTAATTTTATGAGGATGTATTTTATCCTCATATACTTTATCGTATTTCTAAATATATTTGAATAAAGGACGACCCTACGAGAGCGTAGGTGCAAACAGAGCCTAATTCCGAGTTAGAACGGAGAAGTTACGAGCCTTGGAAGTAATGAGACTTTTTAGACGTGTGAACTTAGTATTAGTAGGGAGTCTATAATTAGTCAGCTTGAAAGGAGAAGGTTTCCACTTCGGGAAACCTGGGCAAGAGGCCCAAATAACCCAGAAAAACCCCCATTTGAACTCTCGCAACCTCCCATTTTTCAAGGTCGATTCTGGCCAACTCAGGTGGAATGTTTTGACACCACCACCATCTTGAAGCTCCCACTCCCCTCTACAAAATCCAACCAAGAACCACATTGATTAGCCACCGTATGTGGCGGTGTGAGGCCATCAAAACCGATGAAAACCAATGGTGCTCCGACCACCCTTTTCATTTTTTTGATGAATTAAAGCGATGGCTGATGCTACCACTTGGGTTTTGTAGCCCATCATCCCAAGAGTAAATCCCGATCAGATTTGGTCCCATTGGACCACCGTGGGCGACGAATCGACACCGGGAATTTTAGGCACCCGCCGGTTTTATCAGTGAAAATCGACCCTCTTCCGTCCACTTTTGGACTTTGTGGCAAGTATAAAAATTGTTCCTCTTGTTGAGCTCTATCTTCCTATAAATTTTGGTAGAATTTGGAGTTAGACAAAAAAGTGGGTTTCTGATCACCGGAAACCACCACGCACTGCGGCGCGTGTGGCGGCTTGTGGGGGAAAATCTGTTGACATGGATTTTGGCAAGCGGGACATCCTTGATTTCTTGAACCCATATCCAAAGTCTGTTCGTTGAAATTTGATGCAATGATTCGAATTATACAACTGTATGATTTTTCGTAATTGATGACCATTCAGTCGTTGGATCGTCACCAAACTTTGAGACATTATAGTACATAATATTTGAAGACCTTAGAAAGTTACGGATCGGGAATCCAAGGTATGGATTTTCCCAAATTCAATTTGCAAGTTAGTAAATTAAAACGTTGACCGCCACTCGAATGTTGTGATTGACCGAGATCCGACCGTTGGATCGAAACAAAATTTTAGTATGTTGTTCTAGAAGTGTAATGTGAACTACAAATGGCTTGATCCCTTAGTAGGGTGCATATGCAGTTTAATGAGAAGGTTAGATGCAGCCTAATAAAATACCTGAGATTAATCTTTTAGTGAAATTTGCTAAGAAAATGAATTTGAGGCCTATCTAAGTAATTAGCTTCCGAATTAGAAATTTCAGGTCGTTGCAGCTTTTTGATGCTTCACTGGATGTACTACACTTGGCATTTAAGTTTGCCTTTAATTTTTCTATTTATAGAGCCTCCGAGCTCAGTTGTTTGTACGCCGAAAAAACTCACTTTGTAAACTATATTATTGAGTGTCTGAGTGTTGTCTGTCTTTCCAACTTTGGTGCTATCTTGTAACATTGAAGTTGAAGATTAATAAAATAATGTGAGTTTGCTTCTCTACTTTATGCATATTTTATCATTTTTTATTACCGTCTATACTTATCCTTTAATTTATCTCTGTTTGGCGTCCGTCGAGCCTGCCTAAACCCACCTAAGTTGTGACTCTCACTTAGATAGAAAATAGATAACTTTCATTTTGCATTCTATTTTTTCAATAAAATGTAAGTGACTTGTTAAATATTTGGATAAACACTCATTATATGTTTGTTCCCCATGTTTTCAATATGTTCTAGTATTTATAATCTATATGTTATTTTATTTTGCAATTTATATTTACAATTACGTGTCTTTTTAAGTATAATATGCACTTATTATACAATATAAAATAAGAGAAGTGTTATTAGCACTCCAAAAATCTCATTCTACACTCACATGTGTATTTTTCTTTCCAAATATAGAAAGTTTGGAGTATAGAATAAGATTTTTGAAATGCCAATAACAATTCTCTAAAATGATTTACTTTATAATATGCACTTATTTTAGATATATAGTTTTTGAATATTTTTAAACTTTTTACAATTTGTTGTTCGTTCTTAATATTTTGTATATGCTACGTATATGATGTTACCATAAAAACGATGAACAAAATAGATCCAAAACTAACAATACAAACATAAATTGATTACAAAAACAGAATATTAGCAAATAACTTTGAAAAAATAAAATAAAATAACTTTGGAAAATCAAAATATTTATTATGAGTGTGACTCTAATGTTACTTATCGTTTGATAATACATGTGTCTTAACCATTAGATTTACTTTCCACAATTGTTTTGACTTTCTATTGTCAATCTTAACCATTCATTTCCCCATTTCCCACCACGGTTGTGGTGGTGCAAGTATCGGCTTGAAGTAGCAGCAGCCATTTCCCACGGGGGACAAAGGCACCCTGTTGCTAGGAAACAATCTATGGTAAAACTCCCTTCAACCTGTTGACAATTACTTCAGCCGCTACTTGGACGGAGTCGCCTCATAAGGAAACAATTACTCATCGGAAACAACAGCACAAGGTTTACCAGGCAAATCAACACATTTGTAAGAAGGGGCAAATGCTTAAAAGAACAAAACAGAAGCATCGGAGGTCTTGTAAATCCAAAAATTTCAGCAAGGTAACAAGATTGAATCCCGACATAGATCAAAATTAACGCAAAAGAAAGACAAATTATAAACGATAATAATTCTTAAGACAAAAAAGACGAACATATAATGTCTTCAAACCTAGAAACCTCAAAACCAAGATTTCATCTTAAAGTAACGCTAGGATCGCTCACACTAGGCTTCTACTTTCTCGACATCTTCAATAAGAAGGGGCTTAGTTGGCTTTCCCAGAAGGTCCGTGAACTCCTGGAATGGAGATTTGGTGAAGCGTGTCTCTTTCCAGAACTCAGGTGTCAAGAAACCATAAGTCTTCAGGAGGCAATCAAAAGTGGCCTGCCATAATTGAAAGAACACTGATTAGATATCATGCACGTAATATGAAATTAAACAATCACTTCAACCAGCCTAGTCAACACATCAAAAAAATTAGGTTTGTACCAAAGGAAACAGCAAATTAAGAATGAGCACAATACACAGGAATCAGCTATGTACCATTACTCATGATGACACTCGGTTTACAAGTTCAAGGGTTTTAATTATTCTAATACTAAATCACTCATCTGTGCACCATTTGAAAACATTAATTCGGCATCACGAGGTCATCACGTACGAGCAAGTAACATCCTCTATATTAATGACTCACAACATGGTATTGACTAGTCCAATCAATAGTTCAAAACATAGATTAAACACACAAAAGCTTGGTAGCCGGGATGTTATCTCATTCATACATAATGTATGCAAACGAATAAAAGATATCCTCCAAAACACATTCAAACCATCAATAAATCAAACTAGTGAAGGTAAAAGATATTTGCATTCTTGTGTCTTGTATTGTTGCCGACATGTAGAAAACATATAATCATACCCCAATAAGTATCACTTCACTAAATGTATTGCGGAAAGTGTTTCACCAAAGATTTTCAACTTTTGCACATTTTAAACAATACAAATAGTTGCAACGGGCGGAGATTGCAAATCTTCACAAGTACAACTTTACGGGCATAAACAGCCAACACCCCTCAACAAGCCTAATTCTCAGATCATGAGCTCTTTGTCAACCATTTGAAAAAAAAAGTGTCAAACATTTCCAATTAGCACAATGATATATATCAATCAATGCAAACAATATCAAATAAATAATTGAACACAGTTTGTATCAAATAAATAATCGAGAGTTTCAAAAGAAATATACCTTGACGAAATTGCCAAGGGTCTTGGTGGAACCACGGGATGAAGTGAAGACATCATCAATACCAGCAAACTGCAACACCTTCTTGGGCACACGGGCAGCCACAATCCCAGAACCACGGGGGGCGGGCACCATCCTGACCGTGACCGACCCACACTTCCCGGTCACCTTACACGGCACTGTATGGGGCTTCCCAATCTTGTTGCCCCAGTAACCTCTCCTCACTGGAATCACAGACAGCTTAGCCAATATAATGGCACCGCGAATCGCAGTGGCCACCTCCTTGCTGCACTTCACGCCGAGCCCTACGTGCCCGTTGGTGTCTCCGACCACCACAAAGGCCTTGAACCGGGTTCGCTGACCGGCCCGGGTCTGCTTCTGGACCGGCATAATCTTCATGACCTCATCCTTGAGACTGCCGGGGGTGACGAGAGTGTCGATGATCTGGTGCTCCTTGATGGGAAGGGAGTGGAGGTAGATCTGCTCCAGGCTGCGGATCTTGCCTTCCTTCACGAGGCGGCCGAGCTTGGTCACTGGGACCCACTTCTCTTCCTCTTCGCGGCGCCCTGGTCGGCGTCCGCGTCCGCGTCCACCACGGTCACCGCGTCCACCGCGGTCACCGAACCCGCGACCGAATCCGCCGCGGCCTCTCTCAGCTGGTCTCTCTGCCATGATTGAGGGTTTTGGGTTGTGAGAATTGAGGGGAGGGGGAGAGGAGAGTAAGCAAACGGCTGGAGTGAGGGTTCGGGGTTGCGGAGAAATTGTATCTTTGTTTATATAGATGCTAGGGTTAGGGTTAGGGTTTTGCGGGTTTGTAGATGGAATTCTTGGTCTGCTGGAGGTTTCGTTATTTTTTTTGTTTAGAGTGGCCCTCGGGCTATGTTATCGGAATGGAAGCGTTGTTCCATTTCTGGTTGAAACAATGGCCCACGGCCCATAACTAAACAAATACCCAACTAGCTCAAGGGCCACTCTTTTTTTTTTATTTGTCCAAAAAGAATGTTTCAATCATAAATGGAACAATGGATCCATTCCTGATAACATAACGCAATCGGGTCATGGAATTGGAGTGAGCATGAATCGGAAAAAACATCACTATTAGGGAATGTTTACTTAACAGAAATGGAATTGGAAACGTAAATGAATTGAAAAACTTAACAATAAAAGTAAGGAAAGATAATCACAACAACTGATTCCCTCCCTTAGTCGATTTGATCCTTGAGATTTGTAAATATATTAAGCACATAAATTTTTGGAAATTTTAAAAATCCTTTTTTTTTTTTTTTTTTTTTTTTTTTTTTTTTTTTTTTTTTTTTTTTTGAGATTTAATCAATTGAATGAATCTCATTGTGAGACTTAGTTTATTTTCTCTCTTTTAATGTAGATAACATTGTTTTTTCAGGGAAAAAAAAAAAAAAAAAACCGTACAAATGGAAGGAGTGCAATTAAACGGGCATCAATAAAAACCTTATAGGGGATTTCAACCTGATCAAAAGGAAAAAGAGCATCATGCACCAAAATATTACATAGTTATACTATCCTCCAGAGAAGGTCTAAGATTACAATTTTTAATTTAAAAAATGATAAAGATGACATGGAATAAAGTAATACTAAAATGCTAAGGTGTAAAAAGTCAAAGAATTTTGATCAAAAAAAATGAAAAACAATAAAATTTCGATCTAACAATTAAATTGGCTAGGAACTAGAACCAAAATGATTCCTTATTTTTCATATGAGTTATTTGGCAAGCCATGGTCTAAACGAGCTGGGTTAGCGAGTTTTTTTCTTTTACTATACTTGTAACGTTTGTCTCAAGTTATTTGTACGTGAAGTTTATTTTTTCACATATATATTCACACAATGGACATTAACTCTCCTCCATTATTTTATTCCGCTTGACTGAATAAATAAACAAATAAATAAAAAAGATAGAAAAAAAAAATTTAATAGTGAAAATGACCACCAAAAGAAAGAAAGCTTGTCCATTATCCGACAGTAATAAGATGGAACGTGAACTTATAAACTCCTGAAATTTTATATGTCAACAAATGAATTTGGTTAAGAGGTAGATTTCAAATTAAAGTTTAAACTGAAGATAGGATTTGTCTAACTTATCTCTCAATTTGTGGTTTTGCCATTGACTTCTTGATGTCGATCAATTATTTTATTTTCATTGGGTTGACAAATGGTTTTGCTCTTTATTGAGATGCAAAAATTGACGGAGTTAGCGGCAAGGCCAATTATGCGATACGCAGTGGAATTGAAGAAATTTAGGATCTATTTGTCTGCACGTTCATAGATTATTTGACACATTCCGACTCGGACAGTCCACTTGGATTCTGAATCGAGTCGTGCTGGCCGACACCTGGAAGGTGACGAAGTCATAAAATATGATAGTGTATAATGTAAATAAATTTGAACCTAAAAGTGTCTAAATACCAGAATGCGCTATGAGTGGGAGCGAACCCATTTCACACGCGATGTCAGAGCATAAGTAAAGTACAGTAGTATGGATAAGAATCATACCCTTAAAAGGAGCCACCAATACAAAGATTAGCCATAGATCCTCTTCGATATGAACTCAGTAGTTATAATCTGGAATGGTACAAAACAGAAAGTGTGAGTAAGCAATAAAACTAAGCTTCCCAAAACTATTACCTTTCTAACAGTAATAACCCCTCACTGTAAATCCCTTATCGTTTACTATAGGACAATACTACACATATATAAAATGATATATCTATCTATATATCCACCCATGCTCAAGAATGGCCAAAACCACGGGTATGCCATGTCCATCAACTCTACAATGCATTAACAAGTAGGCCAAATGAACTTAATCAATATAAAATGATATATCAGCCGGAATCACCTAACGTGACTTGTACAACTGTACTCATATCTCATCAATCAATGCTAGCATATAAGTCGGGAGTCACCTCTAGTGACCTGTACGACTTATCTCATATCTCATCAATCAATGCTAGCCTATAAGTTGGGAGGCACCTCTAGTGACCTGTACGACTTATCCATAGCTCATCTACATGCTAGCTAATAGCTCATCAACATGCTAGCCAATAACTCAATAATAGGCTAGCCAATAGCTCGATAACATGCTAGCCAAAGCTTCATAATATGCTAGCCAATAGCTCGATAACATGCTAGTCAATAGCTTGATAACATGCTAGCCAATAACTCCATAACATGCTAGCCAATAGCTCGATAACATGCTAGCCAATATCTCATCAACATGCTAGCCAATAAATATCTCATCAATATGCTAGCCAATCAATATCTCATCAATGAAGTCTTACACACGAGTCAGAACCACCTACAGTGGTCTGTACGACATGCTAGGTGTAACTAAATACGCTTAAGTGCTACGATCACGTGAAGGTTGTGCGAAGTATCGCAAGTCACCTACGAGTCAGAACCATCTAAAGTGGTATGTACAATAGGCTGGCACCTACCTTGGAATCCAAGGCGCGCGGAAGGTGCGAGAGGTGAACGATCACGTGAAGGCTAGGCCCTGGCCTCGGGCAGAGCACTAACACCAGGGTGCAGGACAATGCATTCTACTCACATCCATTTATCACTAATTACCATTCAATCATACCAACATTGTATACTCACCTGAACTTACCTTGGCATCCGCATTGGTGTGCAACACTGTGCAAGGTTGTACTAAATCACATACTAAAATGTAAACTAATTATGGCAAGGCATTTATAAATCATAAACCACAACTTCTCATTTCCTCACACATTGATTTATAACCAACATTTATTCACCCAAAACATAAGGTTAAATCTCATGTTTTTCACCAGATTCCTTCGCATTGGTCATTTCCCAAACAAAGCTTTTGTCTCCATTATTTAATCTCACTTATTGTATGGTTGCATCTAACGTCTCGTTAGACTGCCTACATACCCTAAACAGAGATCAAGCCATTCGTAGTTTGCATTAGTACTTCAAGCATTCACATTAATTATATAAAGCATTCACATTAATTCCCAAAAATCCGGAACCGAACCGAAAAAATCCCGATCCCAAACCAAAAATTTCCCAAACCGAAATTCCCGAAATTTTCGGGATGCTATCCCGAACCGATCCCAAAATTTCGGTATGGGATTCGGGATTGGCTTCTCAATGTATCGGGAATCCCATACCGAACCGAAAGTATATAATGTTAATTATTATATATATATTTATACATATATATATTATTCTTTTATAATTGATGCTAGTAGTTTCTAATTCATGCTCTGCAACCTGGAATGCCCTACACCTTGCATATTTTTCATGTTCTGTTTGATATTCATGTGGATTTTATTATTGCTGCTGCCATGGCTGATGATTTCAGAAGACTTGATTCTTTTGTCTCTCAACAGATTGCAAAAAGGGTTTAATTAATTTGAATTTTGACTATGATAAAAACAGTCAGACATGCCAGTGTTCAATTAAATGGTAGTGTGAATAAAATGAAATTCCTAGTTCATGAATGTGTTCTTGAATTATATATTTGAAGAACAATTCATAATTTCATATTTCAATTTGGGATTCCCGATTTGTCCCAAAATCCCGAAAATATTTCGGGATTCCCGAAAATTTGGTTTGGGATTGGTCTTCAAATTCCCGTCCCAAAAAATTTTGGTTTGGGATTCGAGATACTAGTTTCGGTATGGTATCCCATACCGAACCACCCCTAGAAATGAAGATCTCAGTGAGTGGAGCAACTGTCATACCTGCCACGAAGTCCAAAAAAGGACGGAAGATGGTCAATTTTTCCCATAAAGCCGGCGATGACTAAAACTTCCCAACATCGACCAACGGGGTCAAGGTTGGTTGGAATTTGCTCCTGGGATGATGGGCTACAAAGCCCAAGTGGTGGCATTGATCATCGCTTTGCCGTTTTGCCGGAAAATAAAAAAGGGTGGTTGGGGCACCTTAAGAACCATCAACTTTTGTGCCCTCAAACCGCCACATACAGAGGTTAATCAAAGTGGTTCTTGGTGGATTTTATAGAAGGAAATGAGAGCTTCAAGATGGTGGTGGTGGTGTTGAAAAACTCCATCGGAGTTGGCCAGAATCGGCCTTGGAAGATGGGTGGTCGTGGAGGTGTACGGATGGAAAACCCACGGGATAAGCTCCCAACTTTTCCCCTCTATTTTTTTTTTTTTTTTTTTTTTTCTCTTTCTGATTTCTGATTGGGCTGCTGCCATTTTCTTCTTTTTCATCTAATTGGTCATTCTTAATCTTTTAACTAACTCTCAATAACCAACTTCAAACGTCCATAACTATACCGTTATAACCCAGACTCGCAAACGGCTTTCGCCTATGCATTCGCACCAACGAATACTACGAGGATATGCGAAAAGAATAAGTCATACGTCTGTCTAAACGATGATCAACGTTAGTCAAAATCTTTGCCTCTAGGGCATTTTTGTAAATTCACGCTTTTAAAATTAATAAAAACGTAAAATTTGGAACGGGTTGTCACATTATTGCTATAATTAAGTCTGTTACAACCCGTCCATAATTTTATTTTATTTAAAAAAATATATATATAAAATGATCAAAATGCCCTTACAGGGTATGTGTCAACTTTCATTGACTTACTAGTCAGGACACGTGTAACATATTAATTAGTATATTCTAATAGCACTCGTTATTAGGAACGACTGATCATAAGCGTAGCAAAAATTAGAACTAGAAGAAAGATTTTACGAAACACGTATAAATCATTTTATTTAAAGTAGTAGAAAAGGTATAAAATATTAAGGGTAAATATCAGTTTACTTCAAGTTTCGTGATTTTCAACATTTGACACATGAAGTTTTTTTCGTTCCAGAGTCATACCTAAAGTGTTAATTTTGGGACAATCTCGTACATATGTTAGTTTAACTGTTAAATCAGCATTTAACTGATGACGTGGTGCCACGTGGACAATGAATGGGCGCCACGTGTCAATATGGGGGCCCACGTGAATATTAACAAATTAAAAAAATTAAAAAAAAATTCTGGGCACCTACCCATTCCCCCTCACTTCTTCTCTCTCCCTTCTCTCCTCTACACCCACCCATCTCAAATCAAACCACAAAAAAAAAATCACAAATTTCCCCCCAAATTTTCTTACCATCCAAACACCCTATGCTTCCCCCTCTCTCTCTCCTGGGTTTTTTTTGTATCCCTTATATCCCACATTTTTCTCGCGCTTTCCCTAAAAATTTTTGATCTTCAAATCTTCAACATGAGGCAATAGAAAGGTATGCCGCCTTATTGGGACCCACCAACTCCGTTCGTCTAGAGCTTCCAAAGGATTCAAATCGTAGTTGATTCAGAGAATGAGATCTCTGTGATGAACAATGATTTCGGATTGGATGGAAAATCAGATGCCACTAGAAAGGCCGAGGAAGCTAGAGTTAGGGTTTCCGAAGGCGGCGTCGGTAAGGATAGAGCTAAGGTTTCACCAATGGAGCTCGATTCAAGAAGTGAGGCTGGCAGAAGATCTAAGGAGGATAGAGCTAGGGTTAGTACGGGGAGTGAAGTTGGAAATGTAGATAAAGTGATGAATCAAATGGTTTTGGAAGCATGGTGGCAGAGTGAAGGGTCTCTCGGGTTTCACAAGGTCGGAGAGAAAGAGGGTGGATGGGTGGGTGTGCGGGGAGGGTAAGTGCAGAGGAGAGAAGGAAGGGAGAATTAGAGGAATGGGTAGGTGCGCGGGGAGGATGGGTGCATGGAAGAGAAGGGAGGGAGAAGGAGGAAGGGGGTCGGGAAGGAGAGGGAATAGGTGGGTTCCCAGAAATTTTTTTTTTCAATTTTTAAAATTTTTTAATATTCACATGGGCCCCATATTGACACATGGCGCCTAATCATTGTTCATGTGGGCGTCACGTCATCAGTTAATGGTTGATTTAACAATTAAATTAACGGATGTATGAGACTGTCCCAAAATTAACACTTTAGGTATGATTCTGGAACGAAAAAAATCTTTATGTATCAAATGTTGAAAATCACGAAACTTGAGGCTACTAAACTGATATTTACCCAAATATTAATGATAGAATAAAATAAGAAAAAGAAAGAAGAAAAGAGGAGGAGGAGGAGGAGGAGTTGGGGCGGGGGGTGGTGTGGTGGGGGTAATATCGGGAAGAAAGGAGAGAAGGGTATAGGGGAAAAGGGGGGAAAGAACTATTTCTTCTTCTTCCTCCTTCACTCACGGGATCCCTTACAACCTATTTTCATCATAATTTCCTCATACGATAACGAAATCACATGAGGTCGGAAGCTATAGTTTCGTAGCGAAGCCGTGTTCAATCTTAACATACCCACCCCTTGAAAACCAACCATTGTATAAAGAAAACGAGGTCCAAACATATTGACGTGTTCCGGCGACTTTTCTCTGATTTCGGGCAATGCCGATGGAATCTGGCCTCGACCCAAGTGAAAATAATGATTCTCCCTTGTGGGCTCTCCTCTAGCGTAAGTATTTTCCCAAGGTTTTAACTTTTAGTTTTGGTTTCGAATTTGAATTCGATATTTTGTATGCATATTTGAGATGATGCTTGTTGTATTGTTTAGGAGTTGAATCGGAACCGGGTAGTCATGATCGGTTGCATATATAGGGAAGAACATTGAAATCCTAACCTCAATTCGGTTCTCTTTAGAAATTGAAGGGTTGGGTTTGTTTTATAACTATTAATGTTATTCCATAATCAAGGCCAGATACATTCGAACATTTTGTATGCCACATTTGTCCTACCCATGAAGAACATTGCTGAATTTGTATGTGTTGTAGCCTAGATTTGTGTAGATAATTAGAGTTCTAAAACTGCTGAGTGGTTCTATATTTTTCCATGGCATTGTTAGATGCTGATGCTAAATACTTGATTGGACAATGCTATTACTAGAGTAGTATATGAATCATATAAGCACTACACCTTCATATGAATCATGTTGTTTGCTTAAATGGTAGAATGATATCCCATTAAACATAAATATCTATACGCATGCCTATACTGAAACTAAAATCAAGTTGATGATTCACGTTGTGAAGCTATATGTATATATTTCTCGAAGCTATATGTATATATTTCTCATATGCCTAGACAAGCTATACAAAGAAAGCATACAGTTTTTAATAGTTATTCCGATTACATGGATGTAGGAATGTCTTGCAGTAGTAATAGGAGTTTATTGAACTGACGAACTACGATTCTTCAACTTAATCCTTTCGTGCGAACAGAGTCAGAGAGTAATGAATTTGAGGTCCAAAACAAAGAATGAGCCACAAGATTGTAGTTTCTAATCTATCCGCCTTTGGCAATTACAACAAATCCAATCCAATCTTGTGGCTGCAAGAACTTTTCTGTCAGCTTCTTGCTTTGTCTCAGTATTTTCGACAATTGCAGACATGGCACAATGCGAAGTTTCAACCTTCATATCTTTCACTCATTGGTATGGCTTTGTTGTTACTTGATATAGTAGACAATCCCTGTTTCTATGATTAAACCTGTTCAGAAGAAAGTGAAAGATAGAGAAAATAAATAAATTCAAAAATCTTGGTGGCTCAAGTTCTAAATTTTGCTTCATCAATTCGTTGATTATGTAATTACAAATTTTCTAATTGAATAATTCCGGTACCTTTTCCTTCTGTCCTTATGTTCCTCTTCCACAAAAAGTATATGCAAAGTCCTGATAGTATAGTAGAGTGAAAATACAAGTATGTCTGAATCTAAAAGCTTGAAAATCAGATTCGTAGCTTGGGTTTCATTGGATGACCATGTCATCTTTCCTGTTTCTCCATCAACAAGGGCAAGGTTGCCATGATCACCAATATTCAAAGTTGCTTTTGATGAATTCCAATGCGGGGCATCTCGATTGGCTACCCAAACAACGGTTTTTTCTTTGGTTTTTTTGGTACCGTATTCCCAAGTACCACCCTGAAATCCTTCCCGACTTGAACAACCCCAACTCGAAAACACCATTGGCGGAGACTAGGGTTTCATGGTTTTGGAGAAATTCATTTCGGGACAAGGTCTCTTTAGAGGTTGCAGTTGGGAAAGTCAAGCGAGGCATAGAATAGTGTAATAACATTTGAGAAGCTTTCATTGGTGCACCGAGTCTATTCAGGTTCTTCGATCTCTCGGTTAAAGCGTATACATTAGGGCACTGGGTTGCTTGATGTTGAAGAAAATTTGCTACACCATTGATATATCGGTGAAGAGAAAATTAATAAAAGTTTGAGAAATGAAAAGCCGAGGGCAACATCTGGTTGGAAAACAGACTTGCCACAGTTTAGGCATGTTAATAGTCGTAGGTTTTACTTTTGCTCTATGCTATGTACGGTGAACACGCACAATTGATAAATCGTTGGGATTCTTTCTCAAGTGTCCACGTTATCTTTGGATTCTTTTACTTGAGCTCGTTGGGATTTGAATTACGTTCTCCAATTTTGTATTCCCGGCCGTTTGCTCTATCCTTCCCAGTTTACTTCTTTTTATCATTTATGTTTTAGATCTTTACCAATATAATTACTTGGATGAATCTGGCTATTTCACTTTTTTCCATCTTTTTATTTTCAGTCGACGTAATTTCATGGGTTTATTTAGAAAAAGATATTTGCTAACCCTAAAAATTACATGGACTAGGTCAAAGTATTCTATGAGCTACCTACGTCTTTGTGTGGATGATTGCCTATACGGGCGTGCCAATTCATTACCAAGCTCGGCCAAGCGAATAAAATGGGTGTGGTGGTTTGATGATGAAACGCGCTACTGACTTCTACACCAAGTGACTTTGATCAAGAAAGGAACACTCTCTACCTTGGATTCTAAAATTTGAAGACAAGGTTATGCATTTTGTTATGAAGTTCAATATTCTTCACCAGGTTCAGTCGCTTCAACTGTAAACATAGGTGCACCGAATCGTTATCAACCTGTAGGGACGTCTTTATGGTAAAGGAAATGAGCGTCCTTATGGTAAAAGTTGATGAAGGAAATGGTAAAAGTTGTTCGGCCGTCTGAATGCCGAACTCTAAATGATACATGGAAATAACTGAAGAATCATATACTTTTCATCAGCTTAGACTTGGAATAGATAACTAGTCAACACAAGAGTAAGTGTAGTTTAACCAAACCAAAGAAACTCCTAAGCAAGCTAATTCTATAGCTCCAGTGATATTCAACTGAACTGATTTGTAGCCCGTTTTTCAACCTAGTGATGCTTAACCAAACTGATATGTGCTAATGAAAGTTAGTGAAGTAGTTAGTATTTTCCTCAAGAGTGTGTGAGAGTTTTGCATATAACATTTGTTTGTGTGTTGAGTTGAAAGTTCTTTTTTTGTTGCATGGTCTCTTGTATTTAAACAGACATGGTTGGACACGTGTGTAGAACTAGGATATTATAGGACTGAAAAATATTGTGACAAGTTTACATGGATGATAAAGGTATCCAATCAACATGGGTGAGTCTGTATAGGCTTTTACAATTCAAGTAAAACATTATCTGAACTAGGACACCCTGGCACCGAGTTTCCAGCCGAATGGGAAAAACAAAGTCGTTAAGATTGTAAAATTTAGAGTTACAATCTTGATCGCCTTGGTTGATAAGATTTCAGAATTTTATCCTATTATTATTTGGTGATCACCACGTCACATAATAAGGGGTGATAATGACTCTGTGAATTGGATGAGGAAAATATGGAGATAGTATGGACATAATCACATCTTTTATTCCATATTGAAGATATAATTCACCTCTACTTGGTTAATCTTTGGCTGAATTGACTCCAACATAATTCTTCAAGATAATTAGTACAATAATTAAGACTGGTAGTAATATCTAGGAAACAATTGACAGATCTTTAAAATCGAACTTGATCTCCAATGATTCAACCATGCATAAAAATGAACATTGTGGATGCAAATTTCTTCCTCCTTAATCTTGGATAAAATTGCACCTACAAAACATATAACACCATAGGTCAAGGCCAAGAGCCTCACGCGCCCACAATAATTTTTTTTGGGGGGGGGGGTGTTTGGCCGAAGAACCTCCGATGCGAAAGTTAGAATTTTGAGAGAAAAGTGTTTGAGAATTTTGGAGAATTTTAGCAAGAGTGAAGACCTATGTTTTTAGAGGAAATGAGGTTGAATATATAGTGCATGGCCGGTCCCCTTGGGAGAGAAGGTGACTGGCCTTTGTGCATTTTTTTTTGGGTATAATTGGTGATTTAATTGGCCATTAATAGATTAATTAGGTAATAAATCCATTAATTGGCCAATTAACATAATTTAAAAGGAATGTTTTCGGGGTTACCTTGTAGAGAGGATTTGATGAGGATGGATGAAATAGGTTTTGGATTGTTTACCTATTTTGGGCACTTTTGACTTGGTTGAGTGATAATTGTCTGCTGCTCGTGCGTACGAATCTCGGTATGCCTCAAGGGTATTTTTGTCCTCTTTTATCCAAAAATCCACGTGTCGCTTGTGATTATTTTTAGCTCCACAAATGCCCCCACACCTATTAGGTTGCTCGCAGGAAAGGGCAGCAGGTGTAGAGATCTTCTTACTTTAGGAAACGTAGGATTGCTTCCTATTTTGATGTAAATTCCCTCTTTAATTGGAAATTAGATCCTTCTAGGAAAGGGAAATAAATTTCTCTCAAAGCCTATTTAAGTCCACCTTAAGTGGATTATTAAATTAACTTTGGAGAGCGATTTATTCTACCCTACAAGAGAGAGAAAGCTAGAGGATATTTATTCCCCCTCCCTTAGCAATCTTCTACACTTGCCCGTGCAAATAATCATCTTTCGTTGCTTTCTTTGTCTTCTCTGCCCCGCATTGAGGTAAGAAAAATTAATTTTCCTTATCTTCTTCTTGGATAGTGTTGTCGTGGGGTAGCCGTCGAGGTGGTGCGGTATGTCGGATGACAAGGGCCAGGAGTCGGCTCGGCATAGGATGATGAGGTGTTGTGGTAGGGACCACTGCTTGGGCTGCTCGGTTTGGCTAGAGCTAAGGGCAGCTTGTGCGGCTGGGGCCGCATATTGAGGAGCTAAAGCGTAGTGCTAGGCGAGTTGTATGGCTCATGTCCTTTGGGCTCTTAGACCTGGCGTGGGCTAGGTCGGCGATTGAGAGAAATGAGGAGGTCGTGGGCCTCATGGGCTACTAGAATGTGGGTTGAGCTCCCCTGCTGAGTCCCGTGAATGGCGTTGGTTGCTTAGTTCTCTTCGTCGAGAGAAAGGTGGGCTGCTCCAGAAAGAGGAGGTAAGGAGGATCAAGGCAAATGCATTGGCTCATTTGATCGCTGTCATGGAGCTTACTGTGAATGAAGGTGAAAAGAAGAGATCTTCCCCACGAGATGTCGGTTGAGAAAAAATGAAAGACTTCATTCGCTGCTCGTGAGGATCCACCTGCTACCGAGAGGCTTGTGATTGGCATGACTTCTTCCAATAGGAAGAAAAATGAGGCTACTAGATCTGAGCCTGTAGCATCTTCCATGTTGAGAATGGCTAGTACGATTGTTGATATGATTGATCAGTATAGAGGTCCTGTTATGCCTCTAATGCCGAAGTCTGTATCAAGATGTCTGTTGGGAGCTAAGTCCGGCTCACCTTTGGAGAAGCTTGCTATTATGAAGAGTGATAAGGTGGACTCTACTGCTAAAGTGGGGCCAATGCCTACTTCTTTTGCTGCTGAGACTGATTCGCTTGTTGGGAATGAGGAGACTGCTCATGCGGGTAGTTGTGAGAAATACACTAAGCTTGCTTCTGGGGAGGCTGCTGAGATCTGTGTGCTTTTGAAACCAGATCTGCTTAAAGACATACGCTTGTGCCAAGTTTGTTGATGGCGTTAGAAAGGTTGTTTGCCCAAGTTCCCTTGTGAAGCATACGACCCAATATAGAAGGACTGCTCTGCTTGCTATGATGCAGATATAGCAAGGTTGCCAAGGAGG